GTTCAGACCAAGCCTGGGCCAACTGTGCGTGAAACCCCCATCCTCTACTAGAAATCCAGAAATACCAGGCCGTCAGCTGGCCACACATGCCTGTAATCCCACACGCTGACTCAGGAGCGAGGCCGGATTACACTGTCTGAGTCCCAGGCAGGAGGAGGTTGCTCAGTGAGCCGAGATCATCAGCCACTGCACTCTAGCGCCTGGCCGCATCAACAAGCAACGACCTGCTTCAAAAAATTAAAATAAATAAAATAATAACCATCAACACGCATCATACAATAGATGCAGTCCTGCCTCTCACCTTACTGTAATTTTTTTTTTTTTTTTTTTTTATTTTTTTGACGACTGAGTCTCGCATACATGCCGCCCGGCTGGAGTTGCAGCGGGCAGATCTCGGACTCACCCTGGCAAGCTCCGCCTCCCGGTTCACGCCATTCTCCCTGTCTCAGCCTCCCGTGTACGCTGGGACACAGGCGCAACCCACCTCGCCCGGCTAAGTTTTTTTGGTAATTTTTTTTTAAGGCCACAGCAGACGCGGTTATTTCCCGTGTTAGCAGGATGGTCCCTCGATCTCCTGACCTCATGTGATCGCCCGCCTGCGCCTCCCAAGAGTGCATGGGAGGAGCAGGCCTTGGAGCACCGCGCCCGGCCCTAACTGTAATGTTTTTAGGTTCATTCATGTTCCAAATGCTAATCCGTACTTATCCTTTCTAGATGACTGCATTACATACCTCAGGTGTGTTGGATAGACCACTGTTATTTACCCATTCATCAGTTGATAACATTTAGGATGGGTTTCCCAATTTTTGCGCTATTATGCATCAATGTTGCTACAAATATTCAGGTACAATTTTTTTGATCTGACCTGCTCATATGCTGTTGTGTGCTCTGGGTCATTGGGTAATCTCCTAGAGGGAAACTTGCTGAGTCTTATTGGTACAAGCCCACGAGTCAGCAATGGTAATCTTTCAAGGATCACCAGGACTCGTTTTTTACAGGCAGCTTGCCCCACTTACCATGACCACCAGCAATATACATCAGGGCGTGTCAATTCTCACATCCTCACCACATTGTGTATTTTTTCTTTTCTTTTTTTTTTTTTGAGACGCGAGTCTCGCGCTCTTGTCACCACAGGCTGGAGGCAAGTGGCCGTGATCTCAGGCTCACTGGCAAGCTCCGCCTCCCGGGTTCACGCCGAATTCGTCCTGCCTCACTCCCGAGTAGCTGGACTACAGGCGCCTTCCAGCCTCGGCCCGGCTAAGTTTTTTTTTTGCTATTTTTAGTAGACGCAGGGTTTCACTGGTGCTTAACCAGGAATGGGTCGAGTTCCTGACCTCGGTGAATGCCGCTCCTGTTTTGCCGTCGTCGCCTCCCAAAGAGGCTGGGGATTACAGCTTTGACACCGCGCGCGCCGGCCAAACATTTGGTTATTGATTACTGCCCTCCCTAGGTGGGGCAAATGGGTATCTCGTTGCGCTCTTGATGTTTGCATTTCCCTAATGACTAATGATGTTGAGCATCTTTTCATGTACTCTTACGGACCTTTTTTTTTTTTTGTATTTTTGCACAGTGTCACTGTCTTGCCCAGACTTGGACGTGCTGGGTAAACAAGATAGCCTCCACTGCAGCTCAACGCTCATGGGCTCAAGCAATTCTCCCCCAGCTGCCCCACAAGCAGCTGGCTACAGCGGTGCACCACCATCCCTGGCTAATTTTTTTTTCTTTTTTCTTTTTTTTTTTTTAAGTAGAGACAAGGTCTCGCTATGTTGCCCAGACTGGTCTTAAACTCCTGGCCTCAAGCGATCCTCCTGCCTCGGCCTCACCAAGTGCCCAGATCACAGCCGTGAGATACCACCCCCAGTCACACTTATTGGCCATTTTTATATCTTCTGTCTCTATTCTAAATGTCCGCTCAGTTTCTTTGGCCATTTTTTAATTGGTTTATTTGTCTTTTTATTATTGAGTTGTAGGAATCATGGTAGATATTGAGCAAAAAGCTGATTGGAGCTGTGTTTGCCCAGAGGCAAAGTCTTATTTGCAAAGTCCCTGAAGTTTGGCCCCGGGCACAAAGCTCTGTCCTGCTGGCCTCATCTCAGTGCAGCCCTGCCCAGCAGGTCCACCTCCCCCAGGCTCAGGGACAAGCCCCAAACCCAAGCAACTCAGGACAACTCTCCTCTCACAGATGGGGAAACTGAGGCTCAAGGTGGTAAAAGGACTGGCTTAAGCTCTGGTGACCCAGGAGAGCAAAGCCAGGCTCAAGTTCAGATCTATCCTTTCTCTGCACAATTTCTCTGCACGTGTACATGCACTGCCTGGCTGTTTTCTGCTTTTATAGCGCACTTAACATCGCTTCTATTCTCACCATAACCCTGGAAGTGAGTCATGCAGACACCATTTCCCTCATTTTATAGAGGAGGAAACTGAGGCTAAGCGAAGCGACATGACGTTCACCAGCCTCAAGGCCAGCAGAAGTAGGGGTCATGGTACCCAATCCAGGCACAACTGGCAGTGCAGTGGGGACCACTCTGGGCCTCAGCCCCAGGTCTAAGCCCAGTCACACCACCTGGAGGGTCCACTTTTCTTCTGGCCCAGAGCCACCCCCACTCACCAGGAAACCCTAGCAGTCAGTAGTCCACTGGAAGACCTGGGCTATATGAACTTCCTCTAGAACAGCTCCACCCAGCACCAGCTGGGCCCTCTGGACTGGCACTCCCAGATCTGCCCAGGCCCTGCCCAACAGGCCCAGCCCAAGACCTTTGCTCCTGAAAGAAGCAGGACCCTAGTTTCCATGAGCCCCTGATACTGTTTCTTACTCTTCTTCTTTTTATTTTTTTTATTTTTTTTTATTTTTTTGAGATGGAGCCTCGCCCTGTCACCCAGGCTGGAGTGCAGTGGTGCGATCTCAGCTCACTGCAACCACCGCCTCCCAAGTTCAAGCGATTCTCCTGCCTCAGCCTCCAGAGTAGCCGGTACTACAGGCATGTACCATCACGCCCGACTAATTTCTGGGTTTTTTTGGTTCTTTTTTTTTTTTTTTTTTTTTTTGAGAAGGGGTTTTGCCATGTTGCCCTGGAGAAAATCAAGCAGCTGAAGATGAACTGAGAAAAGAGATAAGGTAACGTTTTAATTTTTTACTTTTTTACTTTTATTTAAATTTTTCCTGCCTCAGCCTCCCGAGTAGCTGGGAATACAGGCGCCCGCCACCATATCCGGCTAATGTTTCTGTATTTTTAGTAGTGATGGGGTTTCACCATGTTGGCCAGGCTGGTGTTGAACTCCTGACCTCAGGTGATCCACCCACCTCGGCCTCCCAAAGTGCTGGGATTACAGACGTGAGCCACCACACCCAGCCATGTTTCTTGCTCTTCTATCACTCCAAGGCTTGGGCGTTTACGGAAGAGGGTACAGGCTGCACGCCTGTGATTTGAGATATGGAGGCAACCCCGAAAAACCCCAAGGCCCAGCTCAATGGGTCTCTCTTCTCTCTGGAAGAGCCCTTGACTCCTACAAGATAACCAAGCCCCCTTGACTCAGCACAGTAGCACCCCTTTATCAGTCATTTATGCCAGTAGGAAAGCCTGGGTAGGTAAGGTTGTAGGAACATGAGAAAGTCTTCCCTTCACTCAAGTCACTAAATCGACTCTCTCTTGAGTACCCAACACCATTCTAGGCAATGGGAATGCAGCAGTGAATAAAACCGGCAAAATTCTTGCCTTTTCTGGGACACTACAGATGTCCCAATGGAGTTGACATACTGGAACAGAAAGAAAGAAACAATTTAAAAATAGGCCGGGCGCGGTGGCTCACACCTGTAATCCCAGCACTTTGGGAGGCCGAGGCAGGCAGATCATGAGGTCAGGAGTTCGAGACCACCTGGCCAATATGGTGAAACCTCGTCTCTACTAAAAATACAAAAATTAGCTGGGCGTGGTGGCACACGCCCATAGTCTCAGCTACTCAGGAGGCTGAGGCAGAAGAATTGCTTGAACCCAGGAGGTGGAGTCTCAGGTGAACTGAGATTTCACTCCAGCCTGCACTCCAGCCTGCGTTGACAGAGTGAGATTCGTCTAAAAAAAAAAAAAAAAAAGGCTGCGTGTGGTGGCCTCACACCTGTAATCCTAGCACTTCGGCGATGCCAAAGGTGGGGGGATCGCTTGAGCACCAGGAGTTCAAGACCCGCCTGCGGCAACACACGTGGACCCGCCATCTCTCCAAAAAAATGAAACAATTACGGTGGGCATTTGGTGGTCGTGTGCCTGTTAGCTCCAGCTACTTGGAAGGGCTACAAGCTGGAAGATTGCTTAACCCAAGAATTTCAACAAAAAACAAAACGACTAGCACCACTGAGTGAATGATAGACCACTGCAACCCCAGCCTGGCGTGACAGGATGCAAGACGCTTCTATAAAAAAAAATAATGATAGAGTCATTGAACGTTCCCAACACAAAAAAATAAAAGTTTGAGATGATGAATATGCCAATTACCCTGATCTGATTACTATACATTCTATGTATTAAAACATCACTATGTGCGCCACATGTATGTACAATCATTGCCAATTTAAAATTTTTTTAAGTACAATGAAACATAAATAAGAAAAATATAGAATATTGTCCGATGGTGTTAAATGCTAAGCAGAATATAAAGTATTAAAGGGGGACAGGCCATTGTGGAGTAAGAAACTGCAATTTTATTTTATTTTATTTTATTTTATTTTATTTTATTTTATTTTATTTCAAGACAGAGTCTGGCTTTGTCACTCAGGCTGGAGTGCAGGGGTGTGATCTCAGCTCACTGCAACCTCCACCTTCTGGGTTCAAGTGATTCTCTTGCCTGAGCCTCCCGAGTAGCTGGGATTACAGGCATATACCACCACACCTGGCTAATTTTTGTATTTTTAGTAGAGACAGGGTTTCGCCATGTTGGCCAGGCTGGCCTCGAACTCCTGACCTCAAGTGATCCACCCGTCTCAGCCTCCCAAAGTGCTGGGATTACAGGCTTGAGCCACCGCGCCCCAATTTTAAATAGGGTGGTCAGGGAAAGACTCACTGAGAGCAAAACCTGAAGGCAGTTAGGAGTAAGCCATGTGGATGTCTGCAGGCATGTTCCATGTACAGGGGGCGCAAGTGCAGGAACCCTGAGGCAGGGGCATGTGGTATGCAAGGGCTGCCCTGAGGGGAAGAGAGGAGATGGGGTTAGGAACAGCCCAGGCTGAATCTCCAAGGCCAAGTCTGAAGGGCTCTGAGCTTGCTGAAGAAGGGGGAACGACTGTCCAGGTGTGTGAGCCAGGGCTTTGAGGGTAGTGTTTCTGACTTCCTAACTTTTTTTTTTTTTAAAGACAGGGTCTGCTTTGATGCCCAGGCTGGAGTGCAGTGGTGCGATCATAGCTCACTGCAGCCTCGAACTCCTGGGCGCAAGTAATCCTCCTGCCTGAGCCTCCGGAGTAGTAGCTGGGACTACAGGCACACGTCACCACACCTGGCTAGTTTTTAAATTTTTTGTAGAGACGGAGTGAGCCACCACCGTACTCTGTCCGGTCTGACTTCCCACTTTTGCCGAGATCGAACCTTTCACCACCATTCATTAAGGTGTACCTCAGCCCTGACTAGGGCTCAAAGGGTGGGAGGACAGGGCTCGGAAAGGGGAGAGGCCTCAATGGGAGGAGGGGGGACTCCTGGGAGGGGAGAGCAGCTTAGCTAAAGGCATGCAGGCTCACGGCCAGCGATGGGAACTGGAGGGAGAGCTGCAGAGGAATTTGAGCTTAGTTAGGCTTAAAGGCACCTTTTGGGTACCTTTGCAGGCAGTCACTGGCTTCTGGGCCCAGCACCTCCTGGGCCGGACAACCCCACCGCCCGGACTCAGGCCGAGCCTGTGCGACGTGCGTGCCCGAGGGGCCGAGCAGCAGGTGCGCGGCTCCTGCAAACAGCCGCGGCCACGCCCACCGTGGCCCTCCCCGCCCCGCTGTTCCGGGGTAATTGGCAGCGCCCCCATCCCCACGCGGCCAGTGCCAAAAGCGCCCAAAGTGGTGAGAAGGGAGAAGCCCTGTCAAATTCTTTGGGATTTGCACCCCAAGCCCCTGACGCACCTCATCCTCGTTTTTACCCTGGAGAATTCATTCCCGAGCAGAGAGGGACAAGGACCGAGGGGCGGGGGCTGGGGCAGGTCCCGCCCTTCCTTGGCAACTCCCCTACCTCGGCGTTGCGGCCTGCGCGGGGCCAAGTCCTTCCTCCCAGGACGCTCGGTGAAGGTGGGAGGCAGGGGCCACGTCACTGTCCCCAGGCCCTGGAGAGCGCTGCTCCGCCCCTCCCGCCCCCAACGGAGCGCTGGGCACTTAGCTAAGACGCACCGGCCCCAGCCCAGGGCCAGCCCAGTCGCCGCCGCCCGCCCACAAAGCCACAGGCAGGTGCAGGCGCAGCCGCGGCGCGAGTGTGTGGAGCCGAGCCGTTAGCGCGCGCCGTCGGTGAGTCCGTCCGTCCGTCCGTCTGTCCGTCGGGGCGCCGCAGCTCCCACCAGGCCCAGCGGCCCCGGCTCTTCGTCTCCTCGCACCCGGAGCCACCCGGTGGAGTGGGCTTTGCCGCGGCAGCCATGTCTATGGGCCTGGAGATCACGGGCACCGCGCTGGCCGTGCTGGGCTGGCTGGGCACCATCGTGTGCTGCGCGCTGCCCATGTGGCGCGTGACGGCCTTCATCGGCAGCAACATCATCACGTCGCAAACCATCTGGGAGGGCCTGTGGATGAACTGCGTGGTGCAGAGCACCGGCCAGATGCAGTGCAAGGTGTACGACTCGCTGCTGGCGCTGCCGCAGGACCTGCAGGCGGCCCGCGCCCTCATCGTGGTGGCCATCCTGCTGGCCGCCTTCGGGCTGCTAGTGGCGCTGGTGGGCGCCCAGTGCACCAACTGCGTGCAGGACGACACGGCCAAGGCCAAGATCACTATCGTGGCGGGCGTGCTGTTCCTTCTGGCCGCCGTGCTCACCCTCGTGCCGGTGTCCTGGTCCGCCAACACCATTATCCGGGAATTCTACAACCCCGTGGTGCCTGAGGCGCAGAAGCGCGAGATGGGCACCAGCCTGTACGTGGGCTGGGCGGCCGCGGCGCTGCAGCTGCTGGGGGGCGCGCTGCTCTGTTGCTCGTGCCCCCCGCGCGAGAAGAAGTACATGCCCACCAAGGTCGTCTACTCCGCGCCGCGTTCCACCGGCCCGGGAGCCAGCATGGGCACAGCCTACGACCGCAAGGACTATGTCTAAGGGACAGACGCAGGGAGACCCCCCACCTTCACCACCGCGAGCTGGAGCGCGCACCAGGCCATCCAGCATGCAGCCTTGCCTTGGAGGCCAGCCCACTCCCAGATGCCAGGAAGCTCCCGCGCAGGACTGGGAGGGGGCAGCTCGAGGACTCCTCCCCAGCAGCCACCAATTTTCGGGCCAGGGAGTCGACTTCCGGGCCCAGGGACCAACCTGCATGGACTGTGAAACCTCACCATTCTGGAGCACGGGGCCTGGGTGCCCGCCAATACTTGACCGCCCCGTCGAGCCCCATCGGGCCGCTGCCCCCATGCTCGCGCTGGGCAGGGACCGGCAGCCATGAAAGGGGGCACTTGATATTTTTCAATAAAAGCCTTTCGTTTTGCACTCGCTGGAGCCTCCTTGTTCCGAGCGCCTCCACCTCCCTGCAGAGCGCCCCCTCGGGGCGGCCTTGGCTGGATCTCGCTCTCCCAGATGGAGCTTAGAGGGAAGGTGGGGTTGTAAGCTGAGCTCGGTGATCACGGAGTGGTCACTCGCCCACTCCCTGGGGATTCGGAAGACAGCCTGTGCGGCCAAAGCCAAGGTCCAATCTAGGAAGCAGGCATGCGCACTTCCCGCCCCTGGGTCTGTGCTGGGAGCCGACAATACCCCCCTTATTCGTGGCTCGGGATGGGAGGGGGAAGGTGGCAGAGATGTGCCCCTGGGTCTGTGCTGGGAGCCGACAATACCCCACACATTGGGAATCTCCCGTGCGCCTTGTGAAAGAGCGCATTCCATACTGCCATTTCCTACTGGAAAAAAGAAAACAAAAAGACCTATTGTTTGGATAAAACACGCTACCAAAAGTAAAACCGGGCCAAATCTTCTCACCTGGGGGAGAGATGAGAAAGGGGCCCTATCTCCTTCCTGGGAACCTCAAGGGAGGGAAAGAGAGAGGACTTAGAAGGCGCATCTCAGAGGGGCTTGAGGCCGGTGCTCGCTGGCTCACTCCCAGAGGACGAGGTGGGAGGCTCGCTTGAGCCCAGGAGTTCGAGACCAACCTGGGCTACATAGCAAGACCCCATCTCTACCATATATATATATATATATATATATATATATATATATGGCTGCGTATGATGGCATACACCTGTGGTCCCAGCTATTCAGGAGGCTGAAGCAGGAGGATGGCTTGAGCCCAAGAGGTCGAGGCTACCTGAGCTATGATTGTGCCGCTGCACTCCAGCTGGAGCCAACAGAGTGAGACCCTGTCTCAAAAACACAATGACAACACACACACACACACACCCCCCAGAGGAGCGGTTGAGGTAAACAGTGTGGAGAGGCACTGGTGCCTTGTAGAAAACACAGGAGATTTAGGCGGGAAAAGGGGCCTGAGCCCAGCCAGGGCGACTTGGTGGGGGCGAGATTCAAATGACTGGATGGAACACCACGGGAGACAGGAAGTGTCAATGAAGCCCAGGAGTCCAGCAGAGGCCAAGTCGTGGAGAGTCCCATATGTGGGATTACGAACTTTGAAACTTACTCTGGGTGTAAGGAGTCATGAAAGGGGAAGTACCTGGTCAGATACTTTTAACCTCTCCAGCGGCCCCTGCGGAACTGCCACTCAAGGAGAAAGATAAAGGAGGGGAACCACCTAACAGGATATGCCGCCATCTTGGAGTGAAATCATGGTGGTCAGAAATTAGGCAGGGGCAGGGAGTGGGGACAGAACCTGAAGGGGGTTGTTAAAGTGGGCAGGACCCGGGAGCCATTTGGTTGTGCAGGGTGAGAGAGGCGAGAATCTAGCAAAGAAGACTGGAATCTGGGAGTTTCCACCTTAGGTCACTGATTGGATAGTGGTACATTTACCAAGATAGGAGACCAAGTTTCTCAGGGAAGATGATGGGTTCCATTTTGAGTGTATAGAGTTTGGTGAGGCCGGGACCTGGTGGCTCAGGCCTGTAATCCCAGCACTTTGGGAGGCCAAGGCTGGAGGGTAACTTGAGCCTAGGAGTCTGAGACCAGCCTGGGTAGCATAGTGAGACCCCATTTCTACAAAAAATTTAAAAATTAGCTAGGTGTGGTGGTGCATGCCTGTAATCCTAGCTACATGGGAGGTTGAGGTGGGAGGTTTACTTGAGCCCAGGAGATTCAGGCTGCAGCGACTCGAGACCACACCACTGCAATCCAGCCTGGGCGACAGAGTGAGATCTTGTCTCAAAAAATAAATAAATAAAAATAAAATAAATGTAGAGCTTGGCAAGCCTGGAGAACATCCTGGCAGAGACGTCCAGGAAATAGGATGACGTCTAGAGATCTCGTAAACCTGGAAGTCGTTAGCATAGGGATGGCAACAGAAACCAGGGTAGGGCAAGAAGGCAGTCTAGAAACTCACAGAACAAAAAGAGTTTCAAGGAGGTGGGCGTGGACAACAGTGTCTGAGGCTGCAGGAGTGGTCAGGCAAGATGAGACCTGAGGAATAGCCGTGGAATTCACAGTAGCCAGGTGGTCATTGGTGGCCTTAGCGAGAGGCATGGAAACGGAAACACTAGATGGAAAAGGGAGTGAGAGGCGAGAGTTGAAACGGGGAGCTGTAGACAATGTGTGCAAGAGATTTGCATAGAAAAGGAATTGTGGCGGGGAGCAGTGGCTCATGCTTGTAACCCCAGCACTTGGGGAGGCCGAGGCGTGGCCACGGTCGGGGATAGCTTGAGCCCAGGAGTTTAAGACAAGCCTGGCCAACATAGTGAAACCCCAGCTCTACTAAAAATACAAAAATTAACCAGGCGTGGTGGTGGGCACTGTAGTCCCAGCACTTTGGGAGGCTCACTTGAGGTCAGGAGTTCGAGACCAGCCTGGCCAACATGGTGAAACGCTGTCTCTACCAAAAAGATTAAAAATTAGCCAGATGTAGTGGCACATCCCTGTAATCCCAGCTACTTGGAGGCTGAGGCAGGAAAATCACTTGAACCCAGGAGGAAGAGGTTGCAGTGAGCTGAGATCGCACCACTGCACTCTAACCTGGGAAACAGAGAGAGACTCTGTCTAAAAAAAAAAAAGAAAGAAAAAAGGCCGGGCACAATGGCTCATGCCTGTACTCCCATCACTTGGGAGGCCGAGGCGGGTGGATCACAAGGTCGAGATCGAGACCAACCTGGCCAACATGGTGAAACCCCATCTTTACTGAAAATACACAAAAATTAGCCAGGTGTGGTGGTGGACGCCTGTAGTCACAGCTACTCAGGAGACTGAGGCAGGAGAATCACTTGAACCCAGGAGGTGGAGGTTGCAGTGAGCCAAGATTGTGTCACTGCACTCCAGGCTGGCGATAAAGCGAGACTCCCCCTCTCCAGAAAAAGAAAAAAAAAAAAAAAGTAGAGGGAATTGTGGCGCGGGGGCAGTGGTCGATGCTTGTAATGCCCCGGCACTTTGGGAGGCCGAGGGCGAGGGTCCACCAGAATGTTCAGGAGTTCAAGAGCCAGGCTGTTTTCAACCATGATGAACTCAGTTGCAGTGAGCTGAGAGCTCCACCACCTGCCTCCAGCCGTGGCAGCCAGAGCGAGCAACTCCTGTCTCAAAAAAAAAAAAAAAAAAAGCAAAGGGAGCTTGTAGGTCAAACCAGCAACTGGTTGAAGGGAAACAAAGGTTTGTACATGTATTTTGGGCACTGGGGAGACCTGTGAATTCTTTTTTTTTTTTTTTTTTTTTTTTTTTTAGACAGAGCTCCCTCTTGTCACCCACGTCTGGAGTGGGCAGGTGGGCACTGATCTCGGCTCACTGCAACCCTCCACCTTCTGGGTTCAAGCAATTCTCCTGCTCAGGCCTGCCCCAAGTAGCTGGGATTTATAGGGCGCATGCCGACCAGCACCCGGCTCATTTTTTGTAAATTTGTGGTAGAAACGCGGGTTTCCACCACATTAGGCCCAGACCGGCCATCAAACTCCCTGTCTCAGGTGATGCCGCGCTGCCCTCGGCCTCCTAAAAGTGCTGGGATAGCAGTAACACGGTGTGAGCCCACTTGCGCCTGGCGTCTTTTTTTTTTTTTTTTTTTGAGAGTGGAGGGCCGCGGCTGGGAGGCCCGCCAATGGCAAAGTCTCGGCTCACCCAGCAACCTCTGCCTCCCCAGGTTCAAGCAATTCTCGCTGCCGTCAGCCTCCGCCAAAGTAGGATGAATTCAGGGCGTCATGCCACCACGCGCTGCGGCTATTTTGTATTCTTTAG